ATATATATATATATATATATATATATATATATATATATATACACACGTACATATTTTAAATATGTTTTTATTGATTTCAGAGAAAGGAAGGGAGAGGGAGAGAGAGAAACAGCAATGATAAGTCATTGATTGGCTGCCTCCTGCATGCCCCTTACTGGGGATTGAGCCCGAAATCCAGGCAAGTGCCCTGACCAGGAATCGAACCTTGATCTCCTGGATTATAGGTCGATGCTCAACCGCTGGGCCACCCTGGCTGGGCACAAGTTTGTACCTTTAGACAAACTTTTTCTCTGGTAACTACCATTTTACTGTTTTTTACAGGTTTGATTTCTTTAGATTCACATATAAGTGATTATACAGTACTTGTCTTTCTGTTCCTGACTTATCTCACTTAGTATAATATGCTCAAGGTTCATCTATATCGCTGCAAGTGGCAGGAACATTATGAGATATGAATTCGAGTATGCCCTTTTTCTAGCGTCTCTTTTTAGAAAACACATCTCTGTCTACCTCACTGGTTTGAGGTGCTGCCTTTACGAGTTTTTAGATACGAATTTTTCTAGTATTTCGGTCTGTTTCTGGATGTTAAGTTCTGGTCCAGTGGTCTGTCCAGCTGTTTGCATTTGCATCATTGCGTTTGTCAGCTGTGTCCTTCTGGTCTCCGTGTCCTTCTCTGGGGGCTATTCCCACTCTAGGTAAAGGCTACAGTACTTACTTGCCTGCATCATTACACTGATATCTTTGACTTGTCTCAAATTCCTTTCAGTATTAGGATTGTTTCTTTGATAACAGCTCTGTGTTTTCTTGTCTCTCTGTCACTCTGAGCTTGTTTTACCAGTCTGAACTGGGTTGTTACTATTTCTGAGATAAACAACAACTTCTCACTTTCCCCCCAGACCTCAGGTGGCATTGTCTTTGGTTTCACTTCAGTTTAACAGATTGTCTCTGTGATATTTATACCAACATATTCATGAGTAGCTACTTCTGGGCAGAGACAGATTGAAATAATCAAAGGTACATTTTTACATTGCTCCTTTCCAGGAGCAGCAAACAGGCACTCCTTAGGCACAACGGGTAGAAAGGAAACTTACCTTGTGGGGGACTGCTGAATAAAATTTGTAACTGTGCCCCACAGAAGAGAAGAATTGGATAATAAAATGAGTTAATGAACTTCAGCTCCCTGGTTGTGCCAGAGGGAAGCTCTGTAGTGGTAGTGACCCCTTGGTGATCTACACATATGGGAGGAGTCAGATCCAGAGGGAAGACAGAAACTGTTCTGGGAGAAAGTGAGTCATCCCTTCACCCTTTACAGCCTCCCAGCCCTGCAGGAAACGGTACACCCACCTGGGGTGTTGAGATTTGGCAAGGCGATCCACAGTTGTGATTTTTTGAATTCCAACCCACTGCCCTCATATTTCTTCTGCCTTGTTTCCGATTGTCAGCACTGGCCATACTCCAGTTTGATTTTACCACTAATTGTGTTGCACGTTACCGTACCGAAATGAATCAAATCAGAATGCTTTTCCTGGAGCATTAGATAAAGCAGGCGAAGGTTCTGAGTAATGAGCAGATGCTGCTAATGCAGGGACAGTGGGAGACCTTGCCAGGACTCCATCTGCTCCATGCTTGCCTGCCTTTGGCCTCGATCCACAGCATTAGGGAACGGCAGTGTACTGGAAACCCGCTCCCTGCTCAGAGTTGGTCCCGAAAACTCACTCTTTGGAGAGAAGTGAGCTTACACACTTCTTAGGTGCAAAGAAATTCTTATTCGTCTCCCTATATGGGAAGAGGAGGGCCGTGACCCAGCGCATTTCAGCATGTGGAAACCTAGGTGGGACAGCCAGCAGTCGTCTTTCTTCGGTGCCATCCAGCAAGGCAAAGTGGCTTATCCACTTCTGCAGCGTTCCCAGCGCAATTGTCTGACACACACATGCTCCATTGTCCGACTGTGCTGCCCTGGGCTGGAGTGGCTCTGATTTCTCATTCACTGACATGTTAACAATGGCTGGAAGTGGGCCTCTCCAAGCTTCTTTTTAGCAGTGAGCAGTAGGACCACATTTGAGTTAGGCAGCTGTGGCGACTAATTTTATGTTTAGTAAAAGATCAGTTCTAGAGAGTTTTGCTTATGTTTCTTGTTTGAGTGTCATGCCCTAACCTCTGAATGCAGTATTTAGTCTCCCCTCCCCTGATCACAATTGAAGTTTCATAGGTGGACTGTGAACTCACCCAAGCATTGCTTGGAGATGGCTAGGACAGCTGGCTGTGGATGGTGGAGGGTTTTGTTTTTTTCTTTTCCGGTCATTTTTCTCTTTGAAGTTTTAATAATCAGTTGTTGCCCGAAACCTCTGCCTGCTGTGCTTAGTTTTACTCAGACAGTCAGTGAACAAAACTAAATGGAACGACTTTCTGACAAAAACCAAAAAAAATACCCGGTATTGTCCCTTTAAAAGATAGGATACATTAATAAATTTAAACAATTTCTTAGCAGTAAGAATGCTTATATTTTAAAGCTGTTCAGTGGAATTAAAAATGGAAATGCAGAGTTGCGAGCTGAGGTGGTTCTCTCAGTGTTGAGGAGGTATTTCTTAGGGTCTAGGGTGTTAATGTTTCATAGACAAGCCACAGAGACTGTTTCTGTGATGGAGGAAGTTGCTGAAATTCAATTTGTTTTACACTTGCTTACACAGATACAGTCATGGGTGAGAGTTTTGAGATCTTTAGGAAAATTTTTAAAATCTATGTTTTTTTATGGTAATCTAAAAATAGTAAGAATTTGGATCTTTTGACTCTGTAACTGCGTCATGCTGCGGGGTCTCACTTTGCATTTTGTAGTCACAGGCTGTTGGCACCAAGTGATCACCTCCACACTTTCTAGTGCTGTTTTCCACACTAAGGCTAAGACTGAATGACCACCCAGGCCCTGAGCTGGGCTCTCCTCCCTGGTCTGGTACCGGGAAGGGGTGGTGATGTTGTGGACTTTTTTGGAGTTTAATTCACCTTAACC